GTTTATAATAGGGTTAATCCAGCCTCTAAAGCCTCTAGTGGCTGTCTCATTGAAAGCCGCTAGAGGCGTTTGCGTGCTTCTCACTGTGAAAATCACAGTGAGAACACGCAAGCGTCGATAAGAAAGCATTGTAAATGCTTTCCTATGAGACCGGCTGAATGCGCGTGCAGCTCTTGCCGCGCGTGCACCTTCAGCCGAAAAGGAGAGGAGGAGGATCGGAGGCGGAGAGCTCCCCGCCCGGCGCTGGAGAAAAGTAAGTTTTAACCCCTTTCCTCTCTCCAGAGCCCGGTGGGAGGGGGACCCTGAGGGTGGGGGCACCCTCAGGGCACTATAGTGCCAGGAAAACGAGTATGTTTTCCTGGCACTATAGTGGTCCTTTAAGTTTTTTTTCCCTGAAATTTCCCTTTTAAAATGAGGTGCGTGTTATACGCCGGTGCGTGTTATACGCCGATAAATACGGTATATAAAATACCTATATGGTTATTGTTAATGCTATGCATGTGGATGTATTACATGTATACTAATTTTTGGTTGACAAACTGTGCTAATACTGGTTTATATAGATTAATTTTGATTGTTCTTATATTTATTAGCTATGTAATAAACTTTATTTTTATATAATTATAATAGGAGTGCGGGTTATTTTTTTGTATATTGCTGTGACTATATCACTCAATGGGGTGGTTAGATACCTTTAGCACCCTTTCTTGATATACATGCTGTACAATTTTGGTTATATTTTTGTAAGCATATTGATTGTTTTTGAGAAACTTTCAATTTTATCTGCTTGAGCAGCCAGGTTGGTCAGATAACCAACACCAGTAGAGTCTGACTCGACATGGCGTCTCAGGCTGATAAAAAAAAGTAGCCTTTTCTAAAAACAAAAATCATTAAGTTTCCTTAAATATAATAAACTTTAAAAAAAAAATGAAATGAAAAGCTGATGACAGATGCCCTTTAAATATTTATATAAAGATCTAAAGGCTATAGTGGTTACCTCCACATGCATTAACTTTTATTTACCAATTAAAACGGAAACATGGAGAAAGTTTCTCGTCCAGACAGTTTGACTTAAAATTTAAAATTTAATTTTTGAATTCTCTGCCCAACAGTTTATACTTTATTGAATAACACTGCTAGTGTTCGTTGTGTTCAAAGCTATTGATTGACCGCTCTCCACAAAATAAGAATCCAAATGATAAAATGAAAGCAGACAACGTTGTGTGGGAAACATTGTCAGAGTTATTAACTAACGTAAGAATTCAGAGTGAATATCAGATTTACTGTCAATATAGCTAAACTAGAAAAATCCTCAAAGTTAGCCGTGATCGCAGTTCAGCTACTCTCTGGCCTTAAATTTGAAATTCGCTTTAAATTCTCATTTTAGTAAATATCCATGTACATGTAATATTATTATACATTTTATATAGCATTATAATACAATGTATCTAAGGCTCCAACCAGCACACCGTTGAATCTATAGAAACAAGATGGCCGATTTGAGGAGAAAGGGTCTCTTGCTATAGGAGCAGCATGGAGCCAATACAGTAGCCCATTAGTCATTTGCCCTGTCTGCCTGATCTGCTATCTAGACATTCAGAAAAATGAATAGAGTTTGAAAATATCCTAATAAATTTCTCACTCCAACTAAATGTCATTCACAGGTTACACACTTATAGTGTTATTTGTTAAAGTGAGTATTGTCGGGAATTTCAAGTAGAATCAAAGTGAATTTCAAATGTTAGGCCCAGGTAGCAGAAATGGAAGCATAGCTGACTTAGAGACTTTATCCAGCTTGGCTGCTTTGGCCCTAACTCTGAAATTCATTTTAAATTATCTTTCGATTTCCAACAATTGTCAATTTAGTACATTTAGTAGATGTCCTCTAGTAATGCTCTTTAATGGAGCTAAAGGTAAGCAGAGCTTAATGGGCTAAATTTAGCACATATATACAGAGAGTTGGGAGGGTAGAGGTTATCCTTGTTATCTGTTTAGGAGGAGAAACTGGAGACACCTTTACAGGGGCTTTGACATGAGTCCTTGCTGGTAGAGAGGGATATCTTTCCTGGTTTGAGGCCTTTTTGAAAAGAGCCTTGTTAGCATGAAGATCTGAGTTTGCTAAAACAGGAATCTGCTCACTGCTGTGTTTTATAGAAAAATACCTTAGACGAAGGGGTAAGAGATATCAATCACTCGAATCAGCTACGCCGACTGAAAGGGAAGAGATACCCATCAGTCAATGCCATCAGAGTTAATTTAAATGGAATTAATGACCAAGGAATATTGGTAATATGCGACTTGACACAACTTATCAATAGGTTACATATATTGAGGCAAAGATTCAGCAAGGATTAATTTTATTACAACTGCGAACATTTTTAAATGCTTTTAGTATATTTTT